GAAGACCAACCTTGACTTGTTTCAGGGATGTATTTGGTAGCCTTTGGCTAGCATTGACTAGTTGTATGCTGGGAGCATCTACAGGTCGCAACAGAGATCGGGGTGCTCTGGTGCTGGGTCCTGTACAGACTCCAAATTGACAATCTAGGTTCATAGAGGTGGGAGAAAGGATCAATGCCTCTGAGGGGAGCAGAGATGCAACGGTGCGCCCCGAGTCACGTAGGGAGCTGGTGACTGAACCATCACCTCCAAAAACCAGGTAGGACCAGAGGCCTCACCCTGGCCATGATGAAAGGGAGAAGTTTCTGTGTAGGAAGCTCTGCCCTGGTTTGGCAGGTCTTATGGCAGAGGCGTCATGTCAAAAGCTGCTGGTACCAAGAAACCTTGGGCATTTCTGTGCCAGTGCTGGCAGCAGTTGCTCATCCAGTTTGCAGCTGCTGAAGGATGTAGGAAGCAGTAAGAGTGAGAACAACAGGGGAAGGAATTGGTTTCCAAAGGGAAGGAAAGAGGCTTCAGAATTGACTCTCAGGGGCCCAATTCTTAGAGGTGCTGGGTGCCGTAAGTCCATCTGTGGGCAGGAGCTCGGATAGCACGACCAGGAGAATCTCTGCCCAGGTGCCTCACAAGACTCAGTAGTGGACAAAACACGAACACGGGTTCAAGCATGAGCCTGGTACTGTAAGCAAGTCATCAGTCCAGCTAGAAAGAAGCCAACAATTGTGGCTGCCATTTGGTGCTATAGCCATGGCACTGCTGCTGGCCCAGACCGTGCTGACCTGGGCTCCAGAGGGCTGCCCTGGCATACACTCCATTGCTCTCTCTGCCCTAGGATGCCCAGGCTCTGTGTTAGTCTCCTGCACGATGCCCTAGTTCTCCTTTCTCCTGGCACAGCAGGGTGGGGATGGAGGATGCTCCCAGGGTCTGAAGCTATTCAGTCACTGCCAGCTGGGGTGGAAGCACTTCCCCACTGCCCTTTTTTGCCTTCCCCCTCTTCTTTCCATACTCGAGAGAGCTATGATGAAATGAAAGGGTTGTAGCCTGTCTTGATCAGATAATGGAGCAAAAATAAAGTGCCTAACCAATAAACAGTGCAAGGGGAGTCCCACCTAGCTGTATCGTTCCAGAGGCAGAGGACTTGGATAACTGCAAAATGAGGCAGTGCTCTGCCTCCTGGCTTGGAGACCAGGGGTAAAGCTGCAGTGCCATGCCCCCTCAATTCCCATAAAAGCCAGCCTTGTGTTTCCTGTCGTGGCTTGTGCAAGTTTCTTTAATGAGTTTACTACCAAGCATGGAGCCTATCCCATCAGTAGGCAGAGGAAACTCCCGTAGCACCAACTGCAGCTTTTAGAAGTAACTATTGCAGCCTGCTGGTGCGATCCAGACAACGGTATGAATGAGGTTTTGAATGGAAGATGGTCCAGGGTTCAAGGTGGGAGGCTGGGGTTGGGTTCCCTGCTCCATCCCAGCTTCCTGAGTCACCAGGAACAAGTCACTCAGCCCCTGTGGACATCAGCCCCAGCCCCGGGGAGGGGCTGTGAGAGTAGCCATGACAGTAATAGGGCAGGTAAGTACCTAACAAGTGCCTAGGCGATGAGGTTCTTTGGGTAAACGTGGTATCTTTTATTAGTTCAACTAAATAGTTGCAAAAATTGTTCTTTGCAAGCTTGCGGGCACAAACACCCTTATGTCCTTGGACCAACACAGCTACAACCAACAACCCCACAGCATAAGAAGTGCCTAGTACTTGCAGTGAGAACAGGCAGGGTAAGACAGGAGACATCGTTTGGAAGGGGAATATTTTGTTTGGAAAAAGGACTGTTTTCCTCCAAAACCCAAGCATTTCCTGATAAACTGACAACACCATTGAAGCTGTGCATCCTTCCAGACAAAAGTCATACATACTTGATTTTTTTTTTTTTTTTTTTTTTACAATCCCCCCTCTCTCCTTTTTTTCTTTTTCTTTTTCTTTTTTTTTAAAGAAACCATGTCCAAATTGGTTATCAATTTATTTGGCTGCAGTTTAGTTTTCCAAAAGAATGGCTTTTGGGAAAATAACCCAATGAAAATGCTTAATAAAAAAAAATAGGAAAATTGGCCCATTTCACACACTTTGCAATGAACGCCATTTCTGAGCTTATCCTTTTCGGGGGCAAAGAGTTATCCATTTTCACCCAGTTCTGTTACTACATGGAGAGGTCAGGGGCTATGTTTAATTGCTGACACTACCCTTCAGAGACTCCAGCTTCATTTTAGGGCCCAATTTACAGAGTTATTGAGACGCCTATAGATGCATCTAATAGGAAAGGCATTGGGTGCTAGGCATCTGACCCACTTAGGCATTTGTTTAGGGCATGTAGGTCACATTAAGTACCAAAATACTTTTGTAAAGCTGCTCCAAGTAAGTTTCCATTTTTTTTTCACATGTTCTGATATTGCAAGTTTTATAACACTCTACCCAGGAGGGGAAACAAATTCCCAGGGAGCTGTTGTTTGGTTTGTTACAATCCGTTAGATCTATTATAAATGGAAGGAAACCAGCTCTCAGTTAATGAGCCATGCAGAGGGGAATATTCCCAGGTGAAGTTAGCAAGCAAAACAGATAACTATTAGGAGTTGCAACAAACATCCTTCTAACAGCGTGAATCAGGAAAGATAAAAGAACTTTCCAGGGAATTCAGTCAATGTGCAGGGGTGTTTATTAACTAACAGAATGGGATTAAGATTTTTTCCACCCCCATAAAGGGACAGATCCCAGCCGGCGTACACTGAAATCATTGCACTGGTGCCAGTTTACCCTAGCTGAGGATCTGACCCGTAATATTCAGCATCCTCACTTTCCACTCGCATGGAGGGGAGCTGAGTGCTCTTAGCCGCTTGTATGAGCAGGCCCAGAGTGCTTATTATAGTTGGGGCAAAGGTCCTGGGAAAAGCAAGAAGCTTGAATTTCACTGTGCTATCTGCCCTTTCTCCCACCACAGCCTGTTGCTAGTTGGAACATTTCTGAAGATCAGGAACGGCTCGGACAGCTGTGCCGAGCTTGTGTTAAACAACTCTCTAAGAATTAACAGCGGGTTCATTGCTTCTGTCTGCAGGGAAGTATTTCTTTCTCAACTGGGTAAAAGATATCTACAGGTTTGGGGTCCCCTGCATGAATTCCAGGCTGGTAGAGCAGAGCGACTACTGCTGCGGATACCCATTCATGGTTTTCACCCATTCAATTCACTTCTCTGCATTAACTTTCCACTCATGACTGAAAGACTTTTTTCCCTCTCCCCACACTTGCTATGAAGACTAGCAAGCTTATTTTTAAATAAATGCATATTATCTAATGGGCTTCGATTGTGGCCTCGGCTTCACACCAGTGACTTTAGCTGAAGTACTCCGCGGTTATTCAAGCGTCACGGAGCAAAATAACTAGATTAGTCAAGAGCTGAGGCGAGAAACACCACTCAACTCATGTAGCAAGCTAACGTTCTCAACCAGCCTTGAAATGATTCAAAGTCGATAAGCGCTAATGTTGCAGGCCACGCAGGGCTAGACTTTCAGAAGAGCCCAACACCTGTTCAGAGACCGAAACAAATGGCTGGATTTTCAGAGCTGCTCAGCGTGTCGGGGTCTGAAGGTCTAGTCTTGTGGATGGAGAGCACTTGAAAATCTACCCAAGTCTGCAGAATCTGTAGTAAAATCTTGCCCTCACTGAAGTCAATGGGAGTTTTGCTGCTGATATCAATACAGTTGGGATATTACTCTGCCCTCGTGTAGAGACAATAATCCCTCACAGACTATAGTCCACATAGAAGACTAGCTCACATCCTATTAAAACCTGAGCGTATATTAAAGTTATTTGGCCGCACTGGGATGGTCTCATCTGCTCTAAACCTTTTTCATGATGACATTTTGCTAACAGTGAAATCATTTCATGTGCAGTGCTGCTTTGATGCAACACATCTCTTTGCCAGGCCGGGGACTATCAGCAAAGAGATTCTTCTTCACTTTTTTCCATGAGCTCCCTGCACACAGGCTACACCAGGGGGTCTCTGGAAAGTCTGGCCGTAAATATTGTAACACGAACTGGTGGGTGTTTGAAGTCTGCTCATTATTTACGTGCTTAAATGGGAAAGGAGCCTCTTTCAAACTGGGTCCCAAGGCTGAGATTCAAAGCCTGTTTGTCTAGGGGAATCTGTCTTAATACTGTAAAATACAAAGTTGAAACAGGTGGTGTTTTTAGGCCTCCTTCCACTGTTTTGGCTGAATTTAGTGCCGCACAGATCTATGTTAAACCTGGAGCTAAAGAATCAAGTGAAAGGCCCTGCTCATTAGCCTTTCCCATTCAGGGAAAACTGGAACAAAATGAGAGGCAGGTTAATTGCTGTTTTAACACCACTGACTCCAGCCCATTGACTGGGCTGGTTAGTGGGAAAGAGGCTTCTAACCAGCAACAGAGGGATGTCCTGGAGGAGCGTTCCCATCGGAGAAGTGGAGCAAGATGCCTAGTTGTTTTCAAATGAATCACAATAAATTTAAAACTGGGATTATACCAGGCGGTTGCCTGCCACAGAAGGGTCCTGGCCTCAAGAGGCCCCTTCCAGCCCTGTTTGTAATCCCCAAGGAGTGCCTGAGTGAAGACTGCTGAATTGGACCCTGCATACATCAAGAAGCCACCTGTGCAAGGCTAGATGGACCACACGCACGCCGATGGCATTCATCCTCCTGGCAGCACATTCATCAATTTAAAGGCTTAACCACAATGAACATTACTGAGACCAGAGGTGATTAATAGAAAGGGTCTTTCCTTCTGATCTAGAAGAGAGCTCCGCTCGACGCAAGTGCGGCATCTGGACCCACGCACAAGCTGGCTAGCTGCGTCTCATGCAAAAGCCAAGAGCCCAGCAAAGCTTAAACAGCAACTTCCAGCGACCACGACCCCCTACCTACCCCTGCTCCAGTTCCCCCCCAGACCCCAAGTCCTGGGACAGGAGAGCGGGAGGGCGAGCTCTCACCTGGTTCCACTTGGTCGGCTTCGCTCCGCGCTTCTGTGGAATCGGCCACATCGCCGCTCATCTTGATCTCTGAAAAGAAGGCACAACTGATTTTAATAACAGGTCACAGTCCCAGGCAACAGGCACATGTGGCTTCCACTAAACAGCACAAATGAATGTGTAATTATAATACACCATCAGACTTTCAAATTCCTGATTCCTCCACATCCAGTCACTAGAATATTCATCAGCTCCGAGGATGCGTTTCCCCTCCTGTTGCTCTCTCCCTCGCTCTTTCCCCCTTCTCAATCCACTGTGGCTCTGTCACCTTTTGCATCATTCATGGTGGTGGATATTTAGCAAGTGGGGCATCTCCCCTGGTCTCACTGACCTCTCCGCGGGGTCTAGTAGATTGGGATCTTGAATGAGATAATGAAGGAAGAGGCTTGCCATCATGGCTTTGGGGTCCAGCTGCTACTCCTGCCTATTTTAGGAGTGAAGGAGCCCCTCTCTTCTCCTGCCCCTCTCTCTCCTGGACAGTTCAGCCATTGCAATGTGCTTGGTGCTGTACAGGATGAACAATGAAGTCCCTAGAGAGGCTGGGAGAGACTAGAAAGAGGGCACACCCAGAGAGGGAATAACACGAAACACGTCTCGCTCTCTCTCATCAGTAACACCCCAATATCAACTGGCATCTTTCAACCTCTTTGCTCTCTGCCCTCCATCTGCCTCTGCCCCCGTCCATCTCACACACACGCACGCTTGAACCTCCACCGCCATGGAGCAGTCCACCCAATGCCAAGCAATGCCCCATGCTCAGCCACACCACAAGCAGGTCTGCCATCCCCAGCCAGCATTTCTTGCCTACACCCTTTTTATGTCAATAAATTAAATGTTTACCCTTGAAGTGACAGCTGCCACCTTGCCTGGGGCCACAGTCTCCTTTGGGGACAGCTGGAAGAAAGGGGTGGGAACTCAGTCAACTTTGCACTAACCCTCAGCGCACTTTGTCCACTTGTTAAAGCAGCAAAGTACAAAATTAAAGGAAGAAGAGTATGATATTCAAATTCATACAGGCACCCTCTTCCCCCTTCCCCTGTGCATGCAAACTTTAACTCTTTCCAATCTCATTGCAGAGTGGGGTGGGGGAAGAGAGAACAAGCTGTCTAATTTGCATAGGCTTCTAGCAACCAATCCCCATTGAGAAAGCAGCTTGATTTGCATCAGGTAATAATACTGCAATGTGCAAGCACGAAGAGCATATGCTGTGGTTTTACCTAAAAATAAGAAACAGGTGGAAACCTCCTTAAAGAGACATCACCTGCAAACATTTTGTTTTCCACAACCCCCTTTAATAACCTCCCCACAGCAAACAGAAATGACTACTGCTTCCCTGGTTACCTCCCTCTCAACACTTTGAAAGTGTACTTGGAAACTTTCAAAGAAAACTTTTATTCTTTGGATGGAAAATGTCGTTTTCAAAGCTCATGTTTGTTGGGGGGGGGGGATTAGTATGTTTTTAACAAAAAGTTTCAAAACAAAAAGAAAGGTTTCATTTTTATGTGGAAGTGGCCAAAAATGAAATATTCTCCAGGTTTTCAAACATTTCCCCCATTGATCTAAAACTTGAAATGAGAAAAAGTGGTTTCTTCCCTAACAAAACTACATCTGGGCTTGCATCTTGGGTGCACTTCTGGCATCACTATTGTATATTAACAACAACAATAGTAATAGCAATAGCACTAATAACAGGAATAAGCCACAAGCATAATCACAACCATAGTAGTAATGTGTCTAAATATGGTAGTACTGCTAAGAGACCATAACCAGGATTAAGTCTGGAAGGATCCTCCATTTGAGAAACCGTTCTTTGTGTCCATGCAACATGTTTAGAAGAACAAACCAAAGCTGTATTTTTATTTTTAAAAATCTCCCTGATGATTTTTGAGGTTTTCTTAAAAAAGAAAAAAACCCCCAAACAAACAAAATTACATTTGGGTGTGGGTTTTACAATGAAAAGTCAAGAAAAATGTATATAAAAACATCTGTTTGCCATGGAAGTGTCCATTTTCACAAAAAAAAGCGTTTCAATGAGAAAGGTGTGAAATAGCAATACCCATCCAAAACTCAGGCAAACAGGGCCTGAAACACCTAATAAGAGACAATTGCTACTTTAAAGAGTTTGCAGTAGGTACGACAGTGGAAGCAGGAGGGGAAACAGAGGCGGAGAGAATGGCAAAGTGATTTTCCTAAGGTCATCGAGCATGTCAGTGGCAGAGGTACAAAAAAACCCTCTCAATGTCTTCGTTAATAGACTACAGTGCCTCTTAATTCATGTACCTTGGACTCGCACAGCCTTCTCCCTAGCACAAATATACACAAAAGCGGTACGGGGTGCTTTCTTGGTTGCCCCCCGCTTCCCCTCTGTTATGCTACTGCTCAGATTCCCATATCCCCCAGAAGTTTTGTGATACCTAATGGTCACTGAAACATCTAGGCTGCAGTTCTGACCTCTTTCAGCTCCATGTCGGACCTGAAAGGAGCTCTTTTCCATGTGATTAGCTTCAGAGATGCTCCTGCTTTACATCTGCATGAGCAAAGAATCAGCCCCTCAAATAAGTGCATTTCTGTTGGCTGCAACAGGAAGTTACAGCGGCGACGCTGCCACATCTCAGGGTTTGTACTGCAAGTCTTGGGATATTTGGCATTTTCGTTAAAGCTGCAGCTCCCAGAGTCAGGGGATTATGCGAGGACCTTAGCTTTTATACAGCTAAGGTGCATTGTTAAGAAGAAAATTGAAAACATGAGATGCGATGCCTTCAAGACAAGGAAGGTGAACAAAACAAGCCCCATTTTTATTCTTTTTTTTTTTAAATCACCTGATCTTTGAGTCAAGCTCATTATTTGGGTGTGGGTCTGGGTATAGGCTGGGTCCTGAGTTGGCAATAATGCAGCTGACATCCTCCAAGGATTCCTCAAGAGCAAGCAGGAGACAAACCCGGGTACAGCTGGCGAAGGAGAGGCAACGCTGCCCCGTGCTAGAGAGAATGGCTGTTTACTGACACCTTAAGAGTCCCATCGATAAATATGTGACAGTGAGCTCAGATGATAAAACACAGACACATCAATACGCCTGCAACAAATAATCAATTCCTCCGCACAGAGTCTGCTACTGGCGTGGAAGTCCATTTAAATTCATAATCTTATGGCTGTGTGTTTATGATACAGCTTTGCTAGACAGGAGATTCACAGCGAATAAGCAGGGTGATAAAAAGCACTAAGGAAAAAAGTGCTGCAAATCTATTTTAAAGCCCTTTAGAAGCTGCAATGCCCTAAGTTAAAGGTTGTCACCTTTGGTGAGATGCTGACCCAGCCTGAACTAGTAAAGGTTTGCTGGTATTGCTAGACATAGAAACCTTCCCTTCCCCGCAACCCTACCTCCAACTTAGGATATTTCTTTGCATGAAAAAATCTCTTCCAGTAAAGCACTTTTTGCCAGTACATCTGCACCTATACTAGGGTTTTTGTTGGCATAAAAATGTCAGGGGAAAAAATTCCTTCGCATTACTTTATTGGGAACGGTTTTAACACTAAACAAGTTATGCACCTTTAAAGGGAGAATATTAATGGGAAAAAAATCATGTCGGCTGAGATTTTCAAACATCATCTATTGGATTTCACTGGGTTTTAGGTGCCTTGAAATTTCCACCAGGTGTTAAGATATCTCAGGTGTACTGGGATGATTTGCAGAGGTGCTGAATACTCACTGAAGTCTACGGGCGCTATCTGGGCTCAGCACCAGCACTTAGCCAGCGAGGCGGGCAAATGAGGAATTTTGCAAGCTTCCATATAACACCCTAGAAAATGCAGGTATTTTAAAAGCTGGTCATATTTTCCATCATGAGTGATCATTTAAATGTAAGAGGCCAAGTGTCTCTGGGAGGGGAATTTCAGTTGATTCGGTGCAGTTACACTGTTACGGAAGTTGGCCCAGACACAGCTTGGAAAATGAAATCAGATCAAACCAGTTGGTTTCACTCCTGCACCATTTGGTGTTACCTGCAGGATTGCCAGCCCTGGGTTGCTGCAAAGTGACGGAGGCAAGGATGTTGTTCATGGGTTCTGCAGGTTTTATTTTTAAAATACTTAATTCTTTGCTTTACTGTTCCTGAATGCAAAGGTGGGGGGGGGGGATTTTTGCATCAAAACTGTACTTTTAAAAGGTGTTAACAGCACCCACTGATTGTGGGTCAGATTTTCAGCTGCGGTAAATCCATGATGCTGGTGAGCTCTGCTGACCTGCACCCACAGAGGGCTTCCAAGTGTTAAGTCTTAATGTTTCCAAGTAATAACAAGAAACCTGGGAACTGGCTCCTCTCAGTCACCAGCCAGGACCTGAGCCCAAGAAGATGAGCTATGAGCTAACATGCACCAGGACCCAGTGCAGTCTATAATGACATGAGGGGCCCTGCGTCCTCACCAGCTGTTCTGGAGGAAGGCAGGACCTCAAAGCAAGGTCTTGGTAGGTAAAGTGTCATGGACCAACTCTAAGCCTATGGCAGTCACTGGGATCTTTCCGTAGCTGGCAGCAGATTGCTTTTACTTTCCCGACTAACAGGCTTCTCCAAAGTGAACCCGGCTGAGCAGCTAGCAGCTCCCAGGCCTTGATTAACAGGCACAGAGAGTGGCAGAGGAGGCAAGACCCCTTCTGGGGCTTAGGAAAAGCCTTGGTAATCTCACAAAGCCAGCTACAGTCACACAGCATGTACACCCACCCACACACACTAGCTCCATGCAGATCTGCTGGCAGTAAACAGTGATCTGAAAGTACCCACGAGCATATACAAGCCACGTGGGGACACTAATGTATGCCTTGACCCTGGCACAGAAGCACACACTGGTGCACATCCCCATACCTCTTGCCATGATTTACCAGGGGCTTCTCTTTCCTGGGACTAACACAAGTTCTAGCTCCCCACATCCCATCCCTAACCCGAGCCCTGTGCACACGCAGAGCTCGTTCACCCGAGGGAGATGGTGCCTTCTGCTCCAGCTGCCTGTCCCGTGCCCGGGGGCAGGCCGACGCCTGTGCACCCACCCTGCCCTTAGCTGCTTGCGTGCAGCTGGGCTTATGGATGAGGTGGCAACTGGAGGTAACCAACCAGACATACTTCTGCCCAAAACTCCCTGCTAGCCCCATGTCTCTTAAGCACCCCTAGCTATTCCCCCGAAAAACCCCATTCTCCTGCTGACTGCGTTTCCTCCTGTGCCCCTGCAGTCCTCTGTCTCTTCAGCTCTAGCTCCTCGCCTAAAAGCTGCTAAACATGCCCCCGTCTCCTGCAGAAACCCCTGCCCAGGCAGGCGGGAAGCCTCGTGGACTTGGCAGCAGCTACTGAAGTCATGTGGCGGGGTCGAAGTAGGGATCGGGTCCCTTTCCCCATCCCCTACCTGAC